ATATATATATATATATATATATATATATATATATACATATATAAATATATATAAATATATATATATATATATATATATATATATATATATATATATATATATATATATATATATAAGTTTTGCAACTGAAAATAGTCATGCATCCATACATTAATTAATTAAATAAACCTTGCTTCAATAGGTGTAACTATAAATCATTAATTTAAATCATATTATGAACTTTGTTCATAAGATGCAAACCAGTTAAAACCAAATCATTCCTCGATCTTTGATCCACCAGAACTTCACTAAATAATTTTATACTGGTAATCAAACTATCACAAGTCAAAAAATTTAAACAGTATTATTAAAATCAGCTTTGATCAATAGTTAATATTAGATTTTTTTTTATTCTTTACTATATAAATAACAAAGAAAAGTTAAATCCAAAGAGAAACAAAATTATTCACAAACATAATTACTTACATTTTTCTTTGGAGTCCTTTTTAGTCGTGAAATTAAATCCTGCACATACTTCTTTATCTATTAGTAATTATTTAGTAAAATAAATATAAACAAAGTTATGTAAAAACAAAAATGTAGAATAAGTGTAAACAGATTACAATATATATCTAGGCAGTAATAATACTATAAACAATTTCAAAATATTACTTATTCCGAAATAAAAACAAAATAGTTTATTTGATATAGTACTTCACCCTTAATATAAAACTATAATAGTTTTTTTATTCATATAAAACAATTATAATAGCAATAATTACTGTAAAATTTAATGACCTCCAGTTACTCTAACTCTTTTAAGTCTTGTTGCAGGAATCAACGATTAGAAAATTATTATAGGTAGCTTTCATTGCATGAACACAAGTTGGCCAAAATAACCATCTTTTTTCAAACAAGATGGAATAACTGCCTCTGCTTCAAACCTTATGTTTATATAAATAATGCATATATAAATCCTAATATATACATTATTTATATTTATTCTGTATAGATATACTTTTATATATTTATGTTTGTGTTGAGCAATTTTTAACAATCTTTAACCATTTTTCTTAACTTATAAAATGAAAACAATTTAAAAAGTTGGAAGCTTGGTGATATTAAGTAAAACTTAATATCACCAAGCTTCTAACTTTTTAATAAAACTTAAATTTAATAAAACTTCCAAACCATTATACCAACTTTTATATTTTTCAATAACAATGACTAGACATGAACTATTTTGTAATTAAAAAAAAACATGTATTTATTAAACACACAATATGCCTCTCTTCTACATATATACATATATATATATATATATATTATATATATATAAATATATATATATATATATATATATATATATATATATATATATATATATATATATATATATATATATATATATATATTTATATATATATATATATATATATATATATATATATATATATATATATATATATATATATATATATATATATATATATATATATATATATATATATATATATATATATAAAATACAGGCTATAAAATATAACTTTATTAAAAAAAAATTTATACCATATGCATGCATTCTATCAAGTTTTCCTTGCCTTTCCATTACGGCATATTATTTTTGTAATGGCTAGTTATTGAGACAATAATTTTCAATGTTCTACTTCCTCAACATTGTCAAAACAACGTTTTGTTAACGTTGGCAACGTAACACTTTTTCAACGTTTTTTAATTACTACATTTTCAACCAACGTTAAATAAAGTGTTGTTTTCAAATAGTTTAAATTCGTTAAAAAAACAGCTAATGTCTAACGTTGATAAACCATTACCTTTGCGACATTTTTACAGTGATTATTTGCGTGCTTATTTTCAACGTTTAACAAACGCATTTTTTTGAGAAGATAAAATACGTTTAAATATATACGCTTATTCAACGTTGAAAATGTAACGTTTAAAAAGCGGTTTGTTTTAAACGTTGATTTTTAAAAATGTTTTTAAAGTTGGTTTTTGCGTAAGTTGATTCCACGTTGAATAAACGTTTTATTTTGAGAAGCTAAATTACGTTACAATTTCAACGCTTATTCAACGTTTCAATTTACCGCGATTTAGTATACAAAAATAGACATTGATTCAACGTTGAAAGCACGTTGTTTTGTGACTGTAACGCTTTTTCTACGCTGCGACTGGTTTTCAACGTTGGTTTTACGCTTACATGTTTGCTGGGTAGATCCAAAAGTCGAGTTATTTTATGAAACACATACAGCTATAAAAACCTCAGGAAAACAAAAGACTAAGTCATGTTAGAGAAAGTTTTAGTTAAGTAAGCTTTGAAACAATTGATAGGTGCCTAATGCAAGTCGATGAAATGATAGTAATTGATTAATTCTATCCTTAGCAATAAAAAAAGGTAAAATCAAACTCACTTTTATAGAGCTATATAAAGTTAGCAACGAGGACAAATGATATTCAGTAAATCAAATAGAATCAATAGTTATGTCTTAGTTATAACCTATTTTAAGGTTACATATATTGGAGACTACTCTGTTAAAACATTTATTATATTTTTACATTACAAAAATTTTTTACAACAGCAATAACTTGTGTTATAAAGATAAATTACAATATAATATTTATTGTTATTGTAGTGGTTCATTACAATATTTTTTTTCTGATATTTTTATTGTATTATGAAGATGAATTGCAATACAACATTTATTGCTATTGTATTACAGTATTAAAATAATTGTAAATTAAAAGAATTGTTATTGTTACTAAAAAAATTAATACAATAACAATAGTTATTGTTCCTGTTATTGTTTTCATTACAATTAATACAGTCCGAAAACTAATTGTGACAACTCTATAGTTTTACAATGACATTTAAGATGCTGTAAAATATATAAACTGTTTACAAAAAAGTCCATTATATACATTTACAAATAAAAACATAAACAAACCAAAAAAAATAAGATACTATATATAGATATAAAAAAAGTTAAAATTCTTGGGATGTATATATTTAAGTAATAAAAGACAACATCACAATCAAAAGAATTGAAAATTTAAAAAAATAAAAAATTCCTCATTCTAATAAAATATATTTCTGCAAGGAAAGTCTCTAATAAAATATTGACAAACTGTTGTTGATCTGTTTTCGCAGCGGATCTAAGTAAAATAGTTTTACAATTATTACAACGAGGACTATCGTTGGGGTAGAGTTGATTTGAAATATCAAGTAAACAAAATATTAACGGTTGCATTTGTTAATCATATGCACTGTAAATTCATCTTTATTATTGCAAGGTGGATATATTTTATCTCATCTTAGTTTTATATTAAACAAGTTTTCATTTGTTAATAACTTGAAATAAGTTATTTTAAAAGCGATACCACTTGCTTTGTTATTTGTATTTGTATTTATGTTGTATAATATTAATAAACAACTTTCCATTTGGCATTAAGCATGGTCAATTTTTATTATTTATATATTAAAAACCATCTACATAAAACTGTAAATTTTATTTGCAAATGTTTTTGATCTTTTAAATTGAGACTTTTTGTTTATAACTTTTTTCTTAAACTTTTTTAAAATTTAAAGTTTAAGAAAAAAGGTTTCGGTATTATTTATGTAATTAGTAAGAGTGGAGGCGTAAACTTTCCAGTTAACTATATACTTTTCTAAGGTGCACAGGAAGCTAAAACCGTTTGCTTATTTTGGAGATGAAGATTAAAAGACTAAATTTGAAAAATATATAGCAAAACAATTTTTTGAATAAAAATATATAAATATAAATAAAGTTAGTGTGATAAATGCATGCTTGATATTTTTTAGTTGTAGTTACTTTGCGTATATACTTAGTAAATGCAACTAAATAATTGCAACTAGAAAAATTCAAGCATGTATTCATCGCACTAGTATTATTTATATTTATGAGATAGTGTTTTTTAGCTGTAAATTTTTTAGCTGTAAATTTTTTAATTTTAGTCTTTTAATTTAGCTCTAAATAGAAAATTATGAATAGAAAAGAGTTATATTGTTTGTATATTATCTAAACAGTATGACTCTTTTCTATTCATTTAAAAGATAATTAACAACGATACATACAAACAATCTAGGAATTCTTTTAAAAAATACAAAAACACATGCTTATTACTAAGTAATCGTTTGAAAAGAGCCAGACATAGTTGTTTAGAGTGCCTAGGCAAAATAAATTTGTTGGTCCAAGTATATAAATTAAAAAAACTACTAATCAGGTATAAATAAAGAGCATACCCCGTGGGCATGCGTCGTCCAGGGGACGTCCGCCGAACGTCTTCCGGACGTCTGGACGTCCAGGAGACGTCTTACGGACAACCAAGGAACGACGCATGCCAACTGGGTAAAAAAAATTGACAGGGATTGCTTAGCAGGGGCTCAACCTCCGCTTTTTCAAAGGCAAAAAATTAAGAAATTTAACCAAAAGTTACCAATATTTATTTCAATATTTATCGCAAAAATAAGGTTTTTTACACCGGCAAGTTTGAATTTCATGTAATGTTAAAATAAAATTAATTCTCCTCCTTTCATTACAGCAAAGTTATAAATTAATAGTAAATGCTACAAAGACTTCACAATATCTTGTTCGATATATATCATTAGCAGACTGTTAACGCGTTTTCGCATTATATTCGTTTTATTGATAGATTTTAATTAGCTTGAAAATAAAAAAATGTTTTTCTTCAATGCAAAAGTGATTGGAATTGTTAGAGCAAAATAAAGGGCTGTGCCCGACTAGTGAACTTTGAAAAACATCGGTTTATAAAGTTTTGAATCAAGAATAGTTTTTAATGTTTTAGATTTTTTATTATATCCAATAAAAAATGGTTACGGATAACCGTAAAATAAGTTTCCCTTTTAAATTTGATACTTTTTTTAATTTTTCGACTAATGTTTTTTGACAAAACCAGCAATGATTTTCATTGTTGATTTTGTTTTTTTGTTTTAGAATTTGATTTGACGTTACTTTTTTTTATTTTAGCTATATGCTTGACTACAGGAATAATTGTGTTAACCAGAGATATTTTTCGGAACGAACCTCCTGGATTCGCTGGTTACAGTGCGTCTTACTTTGAAGGTGGAATTGCTGGAGGTATATCAATCACATCTGCAATTCTTCAGTTCTTTAGAACAAAGTCGGAATATGAGCCCTTTTAGAAAATAAAAAAAAAGCTTGTGAAAAAGTTTTATAAATAAAAAATCTCAAAATTATCTAACAATATAATTAATTTTTAATTTGTTACTTATAATTCTGAAAAAATCTTATAATTCTGATTTTGAATCTGGTATTTTTATTGCTGATTTTTTTGATCATTTCCCTATTTTTCAAATTGCACGTGGTATTCTATCTAATAGTGATAATAAAAAATGTCTTATCACTAAAAGAAACCTTACTAAAAAAAATCTCAATAATTTGAGAAGACCTGTATTCAGTTAAGGATCAAAATCAGGTATTTAATAACTTTATGGCTACTAATAAATGTATTTTTGATACTGTCTGTCCCATAATAACATCTGAAGTAAAAAATAAAGAGTTAAAAAAATCCATGGATGACAAGTAATATTATAAAATTTAGAGCAGCCGTGGCGCAGTGGTTGCGCACTTGCCTCAGAAACGTTAGATCCGTGGTTCAAACCCCACCTCTGGGCAAGTTTTGCGACATCGGTTGGGAAGGAGGCGTGAACTTCCTATTAAATGCTCTTCCGCGGTGCTCTGTGATAAGACCGTAAGGATTTCTTGGGGCACCTTGATCAACTTAAAAAAAAAAAAATCGTCTAAACGAAAGCAAAACTTTATATAAAATTGGTCATTGAACTGTAAAAAACAGTTTTGTGACGGAGCCACAAACGACCTACTTTAAGGAAAAGATGACTAAATTTTTTTAATGAACAATATGTTTTTATTATAGATTCATATATCTTAACCATTTAAAGTATCTAGCTTGATCAAATTTTTTCTTGTGGCTGTATTTGTTTCCAATTTTTTTATATCTTAGTCATTTCACGGCCTACTATAATTACACGGCCTGATTTGTTGCATTTTCCGTAAAAAATTAAGAGGCCAGTTTTTTTACGGCTAACGTTTGAAAACTTGAATTCTTCTGTTAGTATTGTGAAAGTTTTATACATTTTTTAAAGTTTTATACATATTTTATTAAAATTGGAAAAAATGACTCGGATTTTCTTGGTGTAGTTACATTATGTTATACTGGATTTTTCGCTAACTGATTGCCTGCTTCAGTTTATTCTAGTAAAACAGAATACTGAAATAGGCTTTCAGATAGCTATATATAAACACGGTACTTAAAATAACATTACATGTTGCAAAGACCATCTAAATCTTTAGTGGAAATAAAATCAAAGGTTTGTTATGTTGTTTTTATTATAATTGAATCAAACAGTATAAAAGAAATAGCTTTTTATTAGGAATTATTATTGGTTCTCTGTCTTTTTTTAAATTGTTTCACCTGATCTTTTCTTACTGAATCAGTTGTTTCTTTTTGCAAATTGTTATAAAAGATATTTATAACGATACGAGATCCATATTTTATACCCAACTCTTGGTGATTGTCACAAGTAAAATCAACACTGCTGTAATAATTTTTAAAAATTTGTTCTCCAAAACTTTTAATTGAAAAAGAATTACTGCAATGTTTGATTAAAATAGGAGATATGACATCTAAAATACTAAAAAGATGACAAATATAATCAGACAGAGGTTGACTTGGACATATAAGTCCACCTCTGGATAATATTTTTAAGTATTCATTATTAAGAATATCTTGGTCTGTAGATACCATTTTTTGATTACAAGTATGACATTTTTTGCGACATACCCTGCTATTGTAACAGCAACTTCCATGCTATCTTCAGAAAGCTGACACTCTAAAATCTCTGTAGACAACAAATCAATTTCTTGCATAATATTTTCTAAACTAGAATTATCAAATGTCTGATAAATATTTTCTTCCCAGAAATTAATATCTTCCTTTAGAAGACTTCTTACTGCCAAAATTTTTTCACTATTGCATACTTCTAAAAGACTCACTAGAAATCTGCCACCACTCATTTGTCTATACTTACTAAAACGTAGCTCCAAAGGATCACTTTGTAACCTGGAAGTAAGAACATATGTATAGTCTTCTTCAAGCAAATCATCGATAAGAGATGCAGTTGCCCGTAATGTTGTAATAAGAGCAAGAGAAGTTTGTTTGGAAAATGTGAAATAATCACATTTTGACCAAATATCAATCCAATTTGCAATTTCTCTATAAAATGTGGGCTTGTTATCACCCTTCACGGCAGCATTGCCAAGTTGATTGGATGTATTAAATTTCTGCTTTGAATTAAGTGTGATGAACAACTTATGAAACAATGATAAAAATTGTGCTGCATCATTTCTTTCGGGAAAATAACTTAGTATTGCAGCTGTAGTTGTTTCATCAAATATTGCCAATGCAAGGTTGACATCTTGTTTGTTATTTCCAGGATGAGTGACCTGATAATTGATTTTTCTCGCTTTTTTTAAGTTGCCGTTTAATAACTGATCTTTTTCATAGATATTATGAAACAAACTCCATGCTATGTAACCAGCAGGAACTTCAACTTTGTCTTTAAACAAATCAAATGAAAAAGAAGGAAAAACATATTTTTTTGCATTTAACAAGTTATTTCTAACATTTTTTATTAAATGGATTATATCGAACAACAAGTATGTTTTTAATACTCCATTGTAAACTGGATGACATATAAATAACTTTCCATCTCCATTATATGCTTTATGAAACTCTGAAAATGCACTAACATTGGTAGAATGATTATCTGCAACAACAGCTCTTACTTTAAATCCAGATTAGTGCAATGAGATAATGCATTCATCAATTTCTTTTTTTAACCATGAACCTGTTATATACACTTCAGGTGATGATCTCACAACATAAGGAATAGATTTTTGAAGCCCAACAATCATAAAAACAACAATACCTTTATAAAGATTACTTTCTGAATCTTCACCAACATATTTCCCACTTTGATATTGGGCTGCTTTTTGCAAATACATTTCATCCACAAGAAGCACACAGTCACTTGATACACAATTTTTTTGTAACAAAACCTTTATAGCCTTAAATGCATTTATATCACCACTTTGAATTTTTCTTAATAAACTAAAAGATGGTAAGGGTAATTGTTCTAACAACAACTTATATGACTGTGCTGAAGTGTGACGTAAAATTAATGCATATCGTATAACGGAAGCAGAATATGGAGGTCTGCCTTGTGGAGAATAGTATCTTATTTCATTTAGCTCTGTCGAAATTGAATTAAAAGCATTAGCTTTATTTCGAATATGGGCAGGAAAATTTTCTATCATACTACAGTTTGTTAATTTGCAATTATGACCATTGCGAAACCATTCAGGTAAAGAAATATGATATCCTTTATACGACAATGAAACATTAAGATCTTTATTAACTGTTATTGACTCAAACACAGTTGGTATACCTGATATTTCATCAAAACAGAGTTTATAGAAAACAACACTATCATGAAGTTTCTTAAATGTAAATCCTGGTGGGCAATGCTGTTTTTTTAACGAATTAAGACTAATTATTTTATCAATATTTTGAAAATCACTGAACTCATCTTTTCCCAAGTATCTTAAAGTTGGTTCTTTTCTAGGCAACTTTGGCACCCTTAAAGTTGATGAACTACTTTTTTTATCTGTGTGAACAGTTGGAACAAGTTAAAGATCCCATTTCATGGTGCATCTTTTCCCATATTTAATAAATTTATCCTCGAAATGATCAATACAAATAGCAGAGTATTTAGATGGAAGCCAATCTTTTCTATTGACAAAATATATCCCGTTCTCGCAAACTGCTTTCTTCAGGAAAATGAAATGTAGACTTTTTTGGACCAGTAGAGTAACCAGTTTTACAGTTTGTGACAACACATTTGTTAACCATTTTTATAACTAAAAAAAATTTCAAAAACTACAATAATATTGAGATTTCTTACATTTATAATTGAAGTTATCTCCACTTGAATAACATTGCATAAAAAAAAGCAGTTCGACTGTATACAATATACCAAGTAGACTGTCTGTAAGTCTATTTTATAATTCCACTCTCTAATGGATTATAATGAAACAGACAATCAGTCAGAATATAAGCAGAAATATATACTACATGAATATGAAAATATAAACCAAACTTTGATATAATAATTGTAATAATCACATTATTTTAATTATTAAATATTGTTAGTTGTCTTATAATAGAAAATAAGCCGTAAAAAAACTGGCCTCTTAATTTTTTACGGAAAATGCAACAAATCAGGCCGTTTAATTATGGTAGGCCATGGTCATTTTAAAAAAAGAAAAGCTTTATTTTAATTTTCAGTGAGGTGGTGTTTTTAACGTACATACTTCGGCAGAATATTCCTTTAAATTTTATGATGCATTTTTCTATACACTGCTCTTGTATTTGAAGATATTGTTGACAAGCATAAAAGCAGCTGCAAATAGTCAAACCTATTTTAAATAGTCAAAAAAACTGCGTCTGAAACATCTCTCTCCTGTAACTATCAGACATTTATTAAAAAAGACAAATTATTAAAATTTGCGGTTATTACACGTTTAAAATGTTATAGTTACACCTAGAAAAACTATTTTAGTCAGACACAGTTAACCACGTAATGTTTTCTATGTTACAATTAGGAAAAGTGTTGATAAATTATTATATTATAAATACTCCCTTCTTTAAGGGAGCGAAAAAAAGCATTATCTAATGATTGCAAGATATAACAGGTTTTGGTGCAAAACATATGAACATGATATTGTATTCTTTACAGGCATGTAGCTCATTTTCTGAGAAATGTGAAGATAATTTGTCACCAAATACAATTTTATTTCCTACTTTGTATTGTATATATGGAGTAATTATTTTAAAAAACCAATCTTCAAAGCAAAAAGTATTAAACCATCAACTTTTACTTCGGTTATAAACAGATTGAATAGGTCCACTTTCCATGCAAGTATCCCACAAATGTTATGATTTATAAACAACATAAATGAGTATAATAGTACCAGTTGCAGTTTCAGCAAACATTAAACTATATATATATATATATATATATATATATATATATATATATATATATATATATATATATATATATATATATATATATATGCTTTACTTCTTAATATATATATATA